AATGGTTCCTACAGAATCTGTATCAGCTCGGCATGCCACAATAAGATCATCTGCAAAGACTATGTTAATCAGATTGAGTGTTTTGCATCTCGGGTGAAACTTAAACTTACTCCTTTTGGCAAAGTAAGAAAAAGTCCTTGTCAGATATTCCATTATAAGGGTAAAAAGCAAAGGAGAAACTGGGTCTCCTTGTCTAATTCCTTTGCCTCCCTTGAAATACCCAAAGCATTCCCCTCCAAGCTGAACAGAGTATGCTACTGAGGTAACACAAAACCGAATCCCGGAGATGAATTTTCTTGGGAATTTCAGCCCCTCCATAATTTGGAATAATCCTTTCCAGCTAACAGAGTCATACGCTTTCATTAAGTCAAGTTTCATTAGGCATCTGGGACTGATCCCCATTCTGTTATAACCCCTGGCCATTTCTTGGCAAAGAAGCACATTATGTACCAACTCTCTCCCTTCAATGAAAGCACTTTGATTAGGATTTATCAAGTGGGCCAAGACATCCTTGAGTCTACTACAAATGATCTTAGATATCACCTTATAGACCACATTACAACAATCAATAGGTCTAAAATCCTTAGGACTCTCGGGGCTGTCCACCTTAGGAATTAGACATATGTTTGTAGCATTAATTTGTTGAAGTGTGACCCCATCTTGGAAAAAATCTAGTACTGCTTTGGTCACAGTTTCACCCACTACCCTCCATTGGTGTTTGAAAAAACCACTAGAGAAACCATCTGGGCCAGGACTTTTACTGTTAGGTATACTGAAAACATATTTCTTGACTTCCTCAGGATGGATAGAGGCTAGAAGCTTGAGTTGTTGTTCCACAGTTAACACCTTGCCTTCTGCTAAGATATCTATATTAATATTATCAGTAATTTTTGTGTTTCCCAGGAGGTCTTGGTAGTACTCCACCATAACTTGAGCAACCTTCTCATTCACTTCAACAATCTGGCCCTTAGAATTTTTAATGGTATTAATATAGTTCTTGAGTCTTCTCTTCTTGATCCATGCATGAAATAGTCTAGAGTCCTTGTCCCCTTCCAGTACCCACTCTTGTTTAATTTGTTGGAATTTCAATAATCTTGCTGCCTTCATTTTCCAGTTCAACTCCCTGATTAGGTCCCTTTCCTTAGTAATTAGAGCTATACTATCCATATTGTTTTTGATAGCTTCTTGGGTTTGTTGAAGCTCTTCCCTAAGGACATTGCACTGCAGGAAAATATTAGAGAATTTGTCCTTATTTAGCTGTCTCAACTGCCCCTTAACTTCTTTAAGATAGGTGACCAATTTGTACATATATCTGCCTTGCACTTCCTTGCTCCAATTCTCCTTCACTATTTTAGGAAAGGAGGGGTCCAGAGTCCACATGTCACAAAACTTGAAGGAAAAATTGCTTTTCATACTACAGTTTTTAATAAGGAGAGGAGAATGATCAGATAATCCTTCTACCTTAATAGGAACTTTAGTATCCATCTCATTGAACCATTCAATGTTGGCAAGTGCTCTATCTATTTTGGAAAAGATTCTTCTGCCAGGCCCTTTCTTGTTTGACCAAGTGAATTTAGCTCCTTCTGCAGGTATCTCTTCCAAACCACACATCTGAACACATTGTTTGAACTCCTGTGTCTCATCCCAAGTGACTGGGTTTCCACCCACCCTATCATCCATCTCTAGCACACTATTAAAATCGCCAACAATGCACCAGGAAAGTGTATTTGAGATAGCAATTTTTTTAATAGCTAACCATAGATCCCTCCTTTTAACTAGATCATTATGTCCATAGATAAACGTGATGAAGAAAATCTTTGGCTCACCATCTACAATACCACATTTGCAGTGAACCCATTGCTCTCCAGCCTCCATAATATTAACTTTCAGCTTATTGGGCTTCCACAACACCCATATTCTGCCCAGTTGATGATATTCATTATTAATGTAGGAGCTCCACCCTTGGGCTATTTTATTTTCAATACTTATGAAATTTTTCTCTCTGATTTTGGTTTCCAACAGTCCACAAATCAACATGTCATATTTTTTCAGGAATAAGTTGACCTCATCCTGTTTATTAGGACTGTTAAGTCCTCTTACGTTCCAACATCCAATCATTTAAGAAAAGGGAGGTGTCCCTCATATGGGACCTTCTCAAACAGCTTGGTAATCTCAGTTAATAGGTCTTCCTTCATATTACTTAATAGGATTCTTTTAGCAGCTTTCTTGCCACTAACCTCAGTGAAACCTTCCTCATCTTTCTGAGAGTTAGATGGCTGATCCTTCACCTGATTTCCCTCTTGAACCTGATTTCCCTCTTGAACCTCCAGGAGATTCTCATGCTCCACCATCTGGTTTCTCTCCACTTCATTAATCTGTTTGGTTCTTTTAGGCCTCCATGCCAGTTTTGATTGTCCAGCAGTTAGCTTCTTCCCTTCTTTTTTCCTGCAAGTTTCTTGCATATGTCCCATCCTCTTACAATGAGCACATATACATGGATACCATTCATATTCCACTTTCTGGCTGACAACCTTATCTTCCTCATCTACAAATACGATCTCATGTGGGAATTCCTGATGAACACTGACTTCAACCTGTATTCTTGCATAAGCATACTTAGTTTTGGTTGCAGTGGCTTTGTCCCTCTTAACTGGTTTACCAATCCGACTACCCAGTTTGCTCAGACCTGACAGGCTCCAGTATTTCACATCTAGGTCTGGAAGTTGTATCCAGATTGGGATATCTGTCAGTTCCTCAGTTATAACCTTCATTCCAGGTTTCCATTGTTGAATATACATGGGTTTATTGTCGAAAAAGTAATATCTCCTCTTAACAATCTCCTTCATATCTTCCTCTTTTCGAAAAGTAACTAAGAACTGTCCTTCTTTTAGTACTGAAATATCATCCATAGGGTATGATTTCCAAACACGATTGATAAAACCTTTAATAACTTCAATTGGGGGATTAGCCCCCAATATACAGCAAACTAATGTGGAATTCCAGTAATGTTTTGATTCAATAACATCTTCCTTTGTAAGTTTAGCTACCAGCATTCCATTTACCTCAGTAGCAGGGATGAACTGTAATTTGTCCTTATCTGCTATCCCAGTGACTGCCTCTGCATATGTTTGTTGAGGGTTTTCCTCTTTCAAATCTGGTGTTGCCTCTGTCAAGATCTCATCATTGATCGGGGATTTCTGTTGAGTAGGAGATTCTTCTTCTGTTGGGATCACATCTCCCCCACTATTGGGAGTGGATCCGGTCGTCGGAGACTTGCTCGGCGTCGTCTTCTTTCTAGGTCTTCCTCTTCTCCTCGACATCGCTAGAGAGAGAAATCTAGAGAAATCTATACAAATTACTTACTATCCCAATGTTTAATCCTACTCCTTAAATTGTCCAAAGTGTGTGACCCGTATAGGCACTTATAAAGCTGGCCACAGTATTGGCTCTACACCAATACTATAAGCAATAAGCGGTATCTAGCAACACATTATTGCCCCCAGATTATAAGTTAAGACGTTTGCACCGTCAAAACCTTTCCACGACTCAAACTCCGTGTAACTGTATCCCTTTGTCTCAATGTCTAAACTTAATGCAAGGGATTAATAAAATCCAGCTTGTATCCATTAAGTCATTCACTAATTTATCAAGTTTGACTAATAGGAACAGACGTCATAAAAACATCTCAGCATGGCCATGCAATTTCCTCAATCATAACTTATCAGTGAGCCCCATAAGACATTANATATGCAGAAAACATAATACTTCAAGTCGAAGGATAGTTACACCCGTGATCGCGCTAAAGACGCTTAGAGCATGAACTAAAAGTTCAAGCAACATCTTTAGGATGGGTCAGTCCGGCATCCTATTATCTCCAGATAATATCTGCCCATGTGCGGATGCGAACACGCTGTCATTGACTATGAGACTAAGTCAAACATCCAACACACACTAGTCTCACATGCATTAACGATATCCTACTCTCGTTAATACTCGACTATGGACATTTAGATAAATATTTATTTCAAGATGTTAGTCTCATCAGCAGAGAAACACTATCTGATAAACATCTTTAAATATAAATCTAGGAATATAATATTTGTTTACATTAGCATGAGATGTGTAAACATATTATATCTGCCTATACATGATAGGATAACGATGAACAATTGGCCATCAGGGCACAACTCCAACAATGTACGTACACTAAGCTTGAACGTGTGATGTCGGACTGCTAAGTCCCGCACAATCACGCTATAAGAGACGCACGAGGCCTGATCTCTTACGCATGGATATGATGTGATATGCTTCAATATGAATGATGAAATGAATGATATGATAAGAACAATTTGTCAACAATATGAATATATAATCATGCATTAATTTATTTGGATGAAACATGATTAAAATATCATTTAAATAAGCTACGGGGCTCGGACTGGTCGACCCTTTGTTACGGTGGTCGACCTTGTTCTTCGTTTCGTCGGATAGGCGGATCACCGTGACGGTCGACCGCGGTTGACCGGCGGTCGACCGTTGTTGACTAGCTACGGATGACGGACTTCAGCTGGAATGGCGGCGGTCGACCGTTCGCCGGTGGCGGTCGACCGTTTTGCTGACAGTCGTGATCTATTTCGAAGTTTAATACGACGGTTGACCGTTTGCGTCGACCGTTCGGGTCTGCGAATCTTTCTCTTGATACTTTGAGTATCCAAAATACTTCTTTAAGTCTTTTTAACACCTTTGATTAACATATACATATTGTTGGGTTGATTTCCAAGGTTTATATCTTCTTATGTGTATATTAACTTTATAAATTTGGTGTATTTTGATTTCAACACATGGATGACTTAGATATGTATCACATATATATTTTGGGATGATTTCAACATATGGAATAATATATATGTTCATGTACGAATGTGATGAATGATTCGAAAAGTCTACTGCAAGGGTACAAACCTGGAAATCATTGGCCAAAACCTTACGAATGAGCGGGAGTGGAAACAACATCGAAATTCACCAACTTTGTCATTCTCGTAACAATTGGACAGCGTGCCGTATTTTGGGCATATCTCCATCGTTTCTTCACGGAATTGCAAACCGTTTGATTCTGTGGATTCCTAAGATATAAGGCTATAACTTTCGTACAGAAAGTATTTCGAGTTAACAGATGTAAGATAGCATAAATCGGACCTGAAGTCAAAGGATAGTTGTTCTCCAGAATTTTGAATACTCCAGTGAACAACGGTTCTGACGATTAACTCATTAACTTCAATATTCCAACACCGAACCTTCTCTACGATACCTACCGGATGTTCCTAATAATTGTTAGAGAGTTTATGGTAAGTGTTTGGAATGAAACAACATGGATATGATGAGGAAACATAGCCAACCCGAGGAGTTCACCACCACTGGCGCAGTCCCGGTATTTTGGCCATATCTTCTTCGTTAAATACTGAAATTGCAAACCGTTTGTTGGGCTGGATTCGTATCGTCCGGGGCTACAACTTTAGTTCAGAAAATATTTTGAGATAATGGATGGAAAATTTCAATTTTCACCTTAAAGTGGCTGCTGCGTTTTTGAGCTTAAGATTTGGAAATTTTTGGAAGGTTTCTTGCTTCTTCTTCTTCTTCCTTGAACCAACTATGGAGCTGGTGTGTATTTCTCCTTTGGCTCACCAATGGAGTTGGAGATGGTTTTTCCTCCTTCTTGGACTGCTGACAGAGAGAGAAAATGGGAGAGGAAATGGTGGATGATGATGTATAATGATGATGATGGTGTTCAATGATGATGATGATATAGTGTAGGGGTTGGTGGAGGGATGTGCTAGTGGAGAGAAAAATGGGGTTGCGTGATTTGGGAGAAGATTTGGAAAATAAAGTTTTGGCTTTTAGCCAAAATTGAACAGTTTACCCCAAACGGTACGCGCTTTTTCGCCCAAACTGTTCCGAATTGAAAAGGAATTGTGTTTTTGGAATGAGACTGTCAAAAGTAGAATTTTGACGTAATCAAAATATTTTTCTAAGAACTTTATTTATTGTCTGGGTCTGTCTCTGTCATAAAATAATTTAATAATATGAATGATATAAAAATATATGAATTAAATCCAAATGATTAATATGATGTTGTCAAGTGTCAAAAATTAAGATTTCTAATCTTATGAAATCACTTTTGAATTGAGTTTATTTTATGGGTCAAAGTTACAAATTTTAATATTTAAAATCATCATAACTTGAAATCTATAAATCAGATTGGTTCATAAAATGTACTGTTGGATTCGTCTCTTCGAGACATATCCATAAAAAAAAAGTTTTTAACAAAAAGTCATGATTTTTAAAATCCATTTATTTTTAGTCAAACGTATAAATATTCTTTATTGGACCAAAATGATATTCAAAACTATTGTTTTATAATAAAATTTAGGCCATATTTTGTGGCGTTACAATATATATGGAGTAATCTTTTGACTGAACTCTACATAGAATACTGTCAATGGAAGCTTTTGAGCTCACTATGAGTTACTCGAGAGGGAAGCTCAAGTACTTATTCACTACTTACAGAATTTAAAATATAGAGTGGAGATGGAGGAAAGATCTTGATGCTGAATTTGTTGCCATGAGGAAGCCAAAATAAGAACCCTATGTTTTTGCAACATAAAACTTAAGGCATATTTATCCACATCAATGCATAAGAGGCTTTGAACGGCGAATATAGATAGATCCTCCCATTATGAATTGATAGGCATACTTTTATAGGTGTTAAAATTAGCATGAAAAAGTGAAATGTAAATAATAGGTAACTTAGAGGTTTGGAATGGTGTGTATAAAGATTTTTTTTTCAAAATTTATATTTTTAATGTTATGTTTTTACTTAGCACTTTTGTTGGAAAATACTCTAAGCAGTACGTATTAATATTATTTGAATCGATAGTAACATTGTCTCAAGTAGAGTAGAGTTATTTATATTGAAACTAGTATTTTGACTCGTGCGATGCACGGGATCGAACAAAATTTTTGTCAATTCTGAATTCTTTTCAATGCAATATATTTTATTAAATCAAGTAAATATATTTCTAATACGATTTTTAATCAATGGACAACAATGCCAAAGAAGATCAAATAATATTTGAGGAATTGAAAGTGTACTTGAAAGGTCTTTTTAAATTTCAAATTTTCTGAAAGACTATAGAGTACACAATATTATTGGTATGGTTGTAAGAGTTTACATTGTCGTCTAGAACCAATATTTTTAATCATGTCTTTGCCTTCACCCGTAAAACATTAACATAAAGCTGACTATGAATAAATACTGAATTGGTTAAAAATAATATAGTGAAAGACAATGCTTCACCTTGACTTTTGTTAGTCGTCATAGAAAAACATATGACTATTAAACTCTTGAGAATATGTCCTAAATCAGATGGTACCAAATTCATTCGGGACATGTAAACTTTTTTCTCAACTCGATTTTACGAAACCACAATTGCATTGATAATGTTCTTTCGCAGCTCTTCAACAATTAATATTCTACCATTACACAATCCAAATGTTTGGTCAATGTTCTTCAATAACATAATCGGTACCCTTTGTTAAAATTATATTGTTGTTTGGGATTCTAGAACATTTGATTTTATTAAAAAACTCAACTGTTATCTAATCGTCTTCAACACCTACATCTGAATTTATTTAGTATGAATAATAAGAACTCAAATACACATTTTCACCTCCTAGAATAAGGGACAGGACAAATTCATTTATCATTCAACAACCTCGAGCATGGGTGCCAATAGTGCACTATCTTCAAAAAAAGAATACTTTTTCATGTTCCCCAATAGGTTCAGATAAGTGAACTATACTATACTCTTGAGGGATAACTTGTGTTGAGAATTTAAGAATTCAGGCAGGATTTCAACGTCAGTAGTTCCATCGATCACTTGTCCAAGATTTCCATCTCCGACTTTGATTATCCAATCAGAAAAAGCTCGTGTGTCTCTCTCTGTGCAAGAGAGAGTAAAAGAATTCATTCTCATATTCTTGGTCAATGTATAAACTCTACAATACAACCACATTTTTGAGGAATTGGTGGTAGCACCCACAATTTCCTCTCTGAAAGATTTGAGTAAAAATGAAGTAATTTAGATAAAATCCCCTCTGAGTGCAACTATTTTCAATCCAAGTGGTTCATTTATGGAGTTATTATTAGAGAACGCCATTTTCTCTCTCATTGTGCAATCCAATGCCTCAAAAGCAAATCTATTCATCAAAGATTTTTCATCCCATATGATTATACTTGCTTGTTGGATTAATTATGCTTTCGTAATCCCTTGTTTGATGGCACACGATGAGCACTCAATTAGCGCCAAATGGATTAAGAATCTTGAGTGTGTTGTCCTTCTCCTTGGCAAAAGCAGTTCTACAATGCAATTTGATGTGACATTTA